CGATAGCTTCCCTTGAAGAGAAATGCATCAAAACCCAACATGATGCTAAAACGACCTTCCCTCAGTTCATCGCCTCCAGAGCTCCAGCATTCCAAACAAACGTACCCAGTTAAAACGGCTTCTTATAGAAGAAAGGTTCGCGCATTCGAATGGTTTTTTATCAACTCGAAAGGTTTAGTTTAAGCCGAGATACATGCATTTAAAATTCGGGGTCGGAAAACGACAGAACTTTCTGAAACGGCCTAATATATGACTTGGACAGGGCGTATTTCGAGATACAAATTTCCTAACCTCGCTACAATTATGTCGATCTCCACATTCTGACGGCTTCCTGGTGACATCTGTTTCCAGTTCGAGAATTCTACAACATCAAATTCTATTGCTGAATCCAAGAACTAAGACATTACATTGATCAGTGAAACATACTTCCTGGTAAGGTGATCGTTCGTTCGCTTCAGTCTTTCAATCTTTGTGGACAAATGTTCCACTTCGTGTTCTGCAAGCTCTAGTTGAAGGTGAGCATTGCCCTCACTGAAATTTATTATAGAATGAGTTCACAGTGAATGGTAGTCGTTCTCCATATATTTCGAACTTATCAGTTCAACTCTCTGCATTCATGTTAGGAAACTTATGAATTTCCATCAGAGCATCACAACAATACGCACGCAATTCACACACGCACATAGGCACACACATCAGGCCGATGTCAGACTTTGCGAATCGCTCGGTTTGCAAAGTCAGACATCGACCTCACGCGAATACCCCAAGCGCAGTAGGAGAATTATATTCATTGAAATTTATAATTACACACCTTGCTGATCGCACCATGGGAGGTCTCAGTTTGGCAGTCTTGGACAGCTTCTTCAACAATATCTCATTCTCGTTTTCCACTTCCTACAAAGAAGAAAGAAAAGTATACCTGTGAGTAAACGCTTATTTCACTTTAGATCAGGAAAAGGTAAATATCAGAAGAAGGGTTTCTAGTTCTCAGTGAACTCCTCCAATTTGTAAATAAGACAATCCTATAGAAAAAAAAACACATTCTGAACGGAACTGGTAAGCATAGACACGTATTACCTTACGTAACAGGACGTCGCATCATGTCTCCATCTATATCAAGTACCGTAGCAAAGAGATGCTAGTGTAGAACCCTTTCATCCGCTTACCCTGCTAACTCTATTTGCTCCCTTCTTTGTCTCCTATCCACTTCCAGGGAAGACACAATAATGTATTGGTTGCTTGGAAAGTTTCCGCCGCTTTTGGTACCACAGTTTCGGACGCTTTATTACTTGAGGTTCCAAGAAACTGCTAAATTTCAAAACACTGGGAAGCCTGTTTCTCGCCCTATCTAGCTGCGCTGCTTTTTTCACTAAATTACTTTCCCCTCTTTTCAAATTCTTCAACACCATACTCAACGGGCTGTTTTGCACTAGTTTCTTGTTGCCCTCATATTGGGCCGGGAAAGTGTGGAAGCAAGGCGCGATATCAACTGAACACTTACTCTCGAATCCGCAAAAAATACGCTGTGCAGTCGTGATTCAATATATACTCACGATTGTGAGAAGGGGATTTTTCATCGAAGGGCATGGAGGTTGTGACGCGGATATCGATAGTATTGACAATTGACTTAAGGATCTCGAAACCGAGTCGCTGGAAACGTTTAAGGCCGATTCTGCATAAGGCGTAAGGCGACATGTTGGGTCCACTTTTCTCCCTACTGATGCGCAACTCTCGACTTATAACCATACACAAGTCAAACTAGCTGAGCTATTAAAATGTGCTGCAAAAAATTTACACAGCAAACCCATTGCCTATCAACTTTGGCTTTTGCAAACATCCTGGTGGTTTCTTCAGAGATTCTTGGCTAAAACTCGACACTGCCACCCCTGTCACTTACAAAGCCTCTCAAGCATCTTGATAGCAGTCAACATTCTGGAAAGTAATAAGAGCGTCTGCGGTCAAGGACTTTCAATGAGCGGCTGTGAAAACTAAGTGAATCGTAAGAGCTGAGTGAAGTGAGTGCCTTTGTGCAAGAAACTAGGAGCAAGGCCTACCTTCAGTCGTTCCTGTGTTCGCTTCAGGTCCTCTTCTGCGAACCGCAGTTGTTCGCGGCTGTCAATCTCTCTCTCGATAGCATCACGCAATTCTTTGCTGGCATCGTACTCAGTAATTCCAGTACAAGACAGTTCGGCGGAGAGCTTCTTCTGAGAAAAGATAAAATCATATTGCTACTCTAAGGTAAGTCTTAAATCACTGTACGCTGCGAGCGTCTTTGTGAACGATTATAGGGTGGCTGAAAAATGCATACGAGGACGCATCGGATTTCCATTCTTCATAGAATCCTTAGTCTTTTATGTAATTTTTCACATATGTGTGGATGTAGAAGTGTTAAATAATACATCGATCCCCCAGCCATTGATATCAAGCCATAGCAGTATCGAAAAGGTGCGATTAACTGTTTAGACTTGTAACTCAAAATAACAGCCCTAAAATACGATTCATTGTTCCTGTTCTTGATCTTCTTCGTCTTCCTGTTGTGGTCCCCTGCGGAAGCCGAATGTACCCTATATCTCCAGGGTAGGGCATAAATATGGTGACAAAATAATTGTGGCCTAGTTCGAATCATAAGGTCGAAACGGGATACCAAGTATAGCAACGTAGCATATCCTCTCAAACAGTTAGCCACGTTTCTTATAAGAGATGTTCGTCTGCGAATTTGGCAATTTCCTTCAAACGTATCCTACAGAAATTGGTTCTTGTCCGCATGACATCTTTCAAAACTTCAACTCATACTTTTCAAAGAGCAGCTGCTAGTGACCCTTTCAAACTGTTTTGTTTCGTGCACTTCTTCGGCTCCATTTTCAACCACATTAAATAATTCGCCACATTTAGATTGGAGGTTTCCTCTGGCCAATCTTTGCACGGCCTAAAGCAGGACAAGTGGGCTCTACAGCAGACTCACAAAATTCAATTCATGAGCCTGCATACCGCCGTGCTAGTGAATGCAATCGTTATTAGTAAATGTGACGGATCTTCCTCCGAAATACTACCTTGGATAGCATTTGGCTTAAGATTTTACTCCCACTCAGGCGAAAACTAGACTGAGGAGTTGTTCCTGCCCTGCTAATTTC